CCGGACCGTCCTGTTCCTCGGACATGATATATGGATGGGCCAGAGAGTTTTTGAGAATTTTTACTATGCCAAATCGGCTTTTGTATCCTGTCAAGTTTATCATAACGACATTACTGTGCTGCAACATGGTAGCACAATAAAATCGAGGGGTCGATGAAACTTACGGAGTTGTCTGAAGAACGCTCTACTTTTTTATTCGTGGAATTTGGGACGTAGATCAGGTTACAGATAATGGTTTGAGCGTGATCACAAAAAATGGCTGCTCCAGGAATTAAGAATAAAAAGATTGGTAGACTAAAAACACATTATTATCATAAAAAACATTCTTTAAAAATGTTCCAAACCATACCTAAAGAACACCCTACAGGCAATTGGACACCATGCGGTCAATAAATATTGGTCAGGTTGAATGTCGTGATTTACATGGAAAGAAATTTCCATTGGTGACATGAAACAATCTGTTTGTTGTATCAATGACTAAAGGGAAATAACCGCAAATTAAATTCAACGGGATTCAGATTAAATTAAAACGCCGCTATTTTTTTGACGAAAACTCCCGTAGAAAACACATATCAAAACATTGATTCGCCTCAAAAATATTTTACGACGTATACATGTAAGACTCGAATTGAGCCCATTTCTTGTCCTGGAGCTTTCTACGTGAAAACTAATGAGATTTAATCAGATTTTGGTATCTGCAAAGGTTATAGAGGCGGGAGGATAATTGTGAAAGAAAGCATCGCCTTTCAGAAGATTTTTTTTTTCTTTTCTTTTGGCAGCTTTCTACATCGATTGGCTCAATTGCTATCCTCCGCGGTCGTCATATACTTTAAAACGTCTTTGACCAGGTACTATAGCAGTTTCCTACGACATGAACCAAATTTGATTACGCATTTCATTTATAGGGGTCGAAGTTGCAGTAGTTTCAAGATTTGTCAATGGAAGGGAGATAACTGTATTTAACGACTCGGTCATGTGTTATTTTCATCGGACTGTAGTATTCATTTGCATTCTCTTTTCATGTTAAAACATAAAATTCAACCCTCTACACCTTTTCAAGAAAAGCTCGTAGAAAACTTTACAATATGTCACATGAAAGCCTGACTAAACTTGTTGTCATTTCATCACCCAGAATGCCATCTTAATGTTAGTGGGAAATCTTTTATTTTACAAAGCATTAATTTGATTGGTTGGACATGTGGCTTGATTATTTTTAGTGTTTAGACCCGGAATTTCATTGCAGGTTATTTAGATATCAGACAACATAGGTCGAATAACAATAGTATGGCCAGTGGTTAGATAGTCTCCTGCTGGAACTTATGCACAATCTCAAAGCACACGTTATAAACAGAATGAAAGGTGCTAATAGACTACGAACGATGTCCGGTGCGTGATTATCGCTTCAGTAGAAAATAAAGGACGTGAATTGTGTCCACATCGTGTCCGAACCAGTAGCTCGTGAATTCGCTTCGAAAGACGGTATTTCGTAAGAATATTTGATTTGTGCTTTGATATTATACTGGTTGAATTTCTAGGCCATCGGCCTTTAAATGTATAATTACGTGTACATCAGACTACTATATTTTTTTATTTTCTCCATGGTGACCACGCGTTTAATTGGAATCTATACAACACATTTAAGCTTAGCGTAATTAGCAATGACTTACAAGACACAATGATATATTGACAGAAAAAAATCGGCCAGCAACAAATTTCGAACCAAAGACAGCAGTTTACGCTACAGCATGTACATGGTTATAAATTTGTCAAAACAATTGTCGGATAAAGTTACTGTGTTTTTTAACTAGATGGTTTGGACAAGTGAATTGAATGTCTTCTATTATGGATAATCAAAATGATTTGGAAGAACAATATATTTATCTAATTATTGCTTTAGTTATAATACTGATTTTTGTTAGCTTATTTCTCAACATTCTGCAAGTATTTGTCATGCATCGAATTAGCAAACAAATACATGTTGTGGATATGCCAGTATATAATTTGTGTATTGTTACCATTTATTATACCACCGTTGTTCCACCAACCATGGTTTTTGGTTTGATAGAAGGTTACTTTGATTTTAAATCACCAGCCCGTTGCAGTATTACTCACTACGTTACCATTTCAAGTTCTATTAATCTCATGTTTGGACATCTTTTAATATCCATTGAAAGATTCATAGCGGTAGTATTTCCCGTCTTACATCGAATCAGATTGAATAAAAGAACCATGTTATATTCATGTATTGCCACTTGGTTCGTAGGATTTAGTTTAATGGCGGTCGTGATGTCAATTTCGGAATCGGGAACACTAAATGAATATGAAATTACATCAACTAAAAATACATCGCAGCGTAACAATAGCTGTGCAGAAGAACGGTCTAACACAGGACATACCATCAACAACACACTATACTTAAACAATAATACACATTGTAACCGCTCCAGCAATTGCGTCTACAAAGACATGCCTAAATATTTTGGAGCTGTTACCATTTTTATTGCGGGAGTGATATCAATGACACTGTTTCAGAAAATAAGATTGGTTCATAAACGAATTACACCAAACCAGCATGGAAGTCAGGTGAATCGTACAAACTTTATGATGTTGATTTTTAATATTTCGACAATCATGTGGGTCCTCTTTGGACTCTACATTTTAATAACCAATATTTTTATTCCGAATCATGGTCTGTACATCAAAGTGTTGGTAGTGAATTTTGTAACTTTAAGTCTAATGACGAACTTTGTGGTGCATTTGAAGAAATCAGCACGATTCCGAGAGGAAATAAAGCTTTTAAGTCGAAAATATTTCCCATTTGTACGACACAAAGATCGTAAAATTGCACCAAGTTCATCTGTTCCTGCTACCAACATAATGTTTACGTCGAGCTGCAGCACTATTAATTTTCGGTAGTTTCTTACAGAAAGAATACGGTTGATCACGTTGGCTGTGTCTTATTTTTTGTAATATAAACATGCAGTGTGGCTTTTAACAATTTGTTTGTACTTTACTGTATACAGCACCATGTTTATATTTTACTGTGAACAGCTACCATGTTTGTACAAAACAATTACTACTTTTGTACTGTACTGTAAATAATTACTACTTTTGTACTTTACTGTAAACAGCTACCGTGATTGAACTTGACCATGTTTGTACTTTCGTGTGAACAGTTACGATGATTATACATGACCGTGAACAATTACTATGTTTGTACTTTGATTGTAAACAATTGCTATGTTTGTACTTTGATTGTAAACAATTGCTATGTTTGAACTTAACTATTACAGTTGCTATGGTTATTCTTTACCATAAACAATTACTGTGTCTGTACTTTACTGTTTACAGTTACCATGTTTGTATTTACTGTTAACAGCTACCATGTTTGTATTCTACTGTTAACATATACCTTTTTATGTTTTTATCATGTAAAGTGTGGCATGTTTTCATGTTAGACTGTTGTATGGTTGTGTTGATCTGTTATCAGTGGGTTTTTCTTTATAATTGGACAGATTATTGAAGAAAACAATAAACAATAAAATTAGAATTCACACATTTGCGTTTTAGTACAAGGGTATACAGTGTGGTTGTAGGTTTAATATTATGTCGATCTAATTTTGATTTTAGAATTTATAACGAAGGCACAAACTGGAGTTCTATTAATAATTTTACAATATCTGATGGGAGATACTAATTTTTACATGAGGAAGTAGCCTATATCAAATATAAGAGTGTTAGTATTTCGTAATAAAAGTGGTATTAGGTGTCTAGAGGAGTAAGCATCATACTCTGCCTAGCGCCACACCCTTCATATGCCCCGCATATAATCAAACATGATAAAAAAAAATAAAAACGTACAAACAAAATTCATGGGACGCAACTCATGGAAACATGTATAATAAAATTAAATAGCTGAAGGGAAGGAACTGATCACAAATGTCATATCTTGTTCTTGGTCTGTTTAAAAATGAAAACTAATAAATGTAGGAGTGTTAATATCAACTCATTGTGAACAAATATATCCCTATTAGTATGTCGAAAGTGGACAAAATTACTTATATTGAATCTATAGGTCTGTCACGTAACTAGACATAACTGGGAATTTACTAAAGACCACCCTGTCCTTCTATAGGTGTGTCCATCACAACATGGATCCTTGAAAGATCGCGTAGAAATTCATGACAGAGATGAAGCCATAACAGCACGTCGCTCTTCTAAAAAAAGAAGTAAGTAAGCCACAGAAAAGGAACAAGTAGCTTGACACATAAGAAGCCTTAGCCTACTCAACATCTGTGATATTGATTCTTTTTTTCTATCGAAGTGAACACTGTAGGCTTACCTTCCAAGGAGAAGTAAAAAATGCAAACTTTATTTAGTATATTAAATATATCTTTAAAATATAACAATATATAAAAAATAAATAACATTATGATATTCACTGTAAATATATCTAATCATCTAAAAGCATAGTAGTTCTCTTTAGCTTCACCGCGGTTATTTTATTATTAACATTGATTAAAATTGAGAATAAGAGCCCTCTGTCCCCTATTTTTTAAAGCATCATAGACCGAAACATCCGCCTGTATTCCAGCCTCCGATGACCAATTTGAAAGTTGTCGGCTTGTGTATATATCTTGATCAGCAATCAGCAATGGTTAGGCAGCTGCCCTGGAAAAATTAGCTCAATATGGAGAAAAAACGTAACGAGCAAACTAATCCATACCATTGAAATTCTGAAAATGAATCAAGGAATTGTAGTCTCGGTTACAGCATTATAGGCCTACAACTTCAAGAGTTGCGTAATAAAGACGTCTGAACTTATCTGATAGAGATAGGTAAATGTATTGGTCTGGAACAACATACCCTTTTAAATGTTGTGACCTTTTAAACATAAAAAAGAAATATGAAGTACATGTTGGGATGTCTGTTCCATATCTGATCTATGATAAAATTCTATTCGTAAACATAATTTTAAAACATTGAAAATAAAAGTAGTTTCACCACGGTCGCCAAACTGGCTCCAAGGTAGGGCAGTTCAAGTTATTATTAGGAACGTTGACTCCATTGAAAACTGGTACACTCACTTCAGATTTCGGTACAACAGGTACAACCGTTGTTAGAGGTAACGACGTTGGGTTAGAGGCATCCAGTAGATTATACGAAGGTATATTGGGGACGTTTGATGGCGCACTATATGGTATTAGAATGTTTTGGATAGGAAACGACGTATTTGAGGCGCGAGAAACGACAGGAATGACTTGTTGATTTGTGTTTAAACTATTTACAGTATCACTCGGCTGGTTATTCATTAAAATTAAAATATCACCACCACACACCAGTCTTATTGAATTAGCCACGTTATTTGCTGCCGAGGAGCTTGATTCAGGAATCGCAGCAGATTGTGTGCCTGTTTCAACTTTTATGTCCTTTGGTCCGCTTTGGGGTACTGAATGTTCTGATAATGATGCTGATGGCGGTCGAGTGTCCATGGATTCCGATTCGCTTTCACTTATGTCATCGTGTAGTCGAGAATGTGTTGTTGAAACCATTTCATCGTCTAATTGGTCTTCCATTTTCGGTGTCAATAAGCGTTCATTCAGCTTATTTCTACAATGTTTAGTTATTTTTTGTTTGATTTCTGGGTTAAATCCATTTGATTTGTCAAGAAATTGAACGAGTTCCTCCATACACTTCTCATATCCTGCTGAATAGTTGGAATCGGACAGCTTACAATCTGAAAGTATAAAGAAAAGGTAACATGATCTAAACAGGTTTATTGGTTTTCAATTTTTTGTGCCAGACCATTGGTGAGGTCAGACATAATTTTTAAGATAATGTTCTATTTTTTAGTTACATAGAACAAACAAGGTAGCCAAAGATGAGGTATATAGATCGGAAAACAACAGGCATCTGCTTACATCTATTAAGAGAAATCCTCTTTCTCCCTCCCTTTTGGGGTGTTTACAAGCCTATTTTTTGACTTGATAAAATGTAGTGGTCTACTTTCAGTTTGACTTATTCAAGATTATTCATATTGGCAAGTTTTCAACGAGATTGGTTGTATTTCAAGATTTAACATGGCAAATGAATTACCGGGGTGGGTCCATCAAGGGTCTATCTCTAAATACAGAAAAAACTGTGTTGTCTGCCTTAATAAGGTTGGGTTTTTGGGCTAATATTCGTTTCTTACTAAATTAAATTAATAAAATAGAAAATTTCAGGATCGCCACAGTATATTGACTTCGCCCATATCCATAAATATTATATAAGAATTAATATTTCCTGTAAACATTTAATCATCTTGTGACCGACCATGTTTGTTGTTTACGTTCCCAATATGACGTAGAACTACTGGCTAATTTAGAAATGTGTTTCATTTAATCAATTTACGTGGTTAATTGCAGGTTTACGGAATCAGACTCCCGCTAATTGTATTTTGTTGTACAATGTTATAACTGAGATACACAGTGTTCTACTGTATTCATGTAAGATTAACACCCGTATTACACATTAACATCTGAAAGCAGATATTTGTTCATTATATTTCCATCCTCAGTTATATCAGTGGTTTTATCTATTTAGCTTATAGTTTATCGGTTCATGAATTCTATTGTCAGCTTAGACTGTGATTGCTTTTAATTAATTTACATTCATTTCTGATAATTTCCTGTTATGCGCCTTTGTCTTTCGATCCACATTGCCATTGATGCAATCTGATTTAATCCAGATCTTGATGTTTCGTTTCTTGTTTTTTTTTTCCTTTAGATTGCCATACTTGATCTAATAAAATTCTTTTTGATATCATGGTTAGTCGTCATAAGTAATATGCTTACCAATCAAAATCAATAACACTGGTTAAGTGTTAAAATGTATTCAAGAATTCCAAAAATGTCAAAAATATTCTTTCACAGAGCATTTGATTGGTTTAATGCTATATTCAACATGAGATACCTAATAATTTCGTCAGATCTTCGTGGAAATGAAAAACACGAAACGACACCTTCAGATATGCATTTTCATGAGATTGTCGCTGATGGTTCACACCAACTGATGCCAGCAGCATTTTACAAAACTACAGATTTTCAACCTGAAAACCCGTAATGAGATAAGCCTATTTATGAATGTTGTGTTCATTTGTCAATATTGTAAACCGGAAAGTTTGAATGACAGATCACGTCAGATGTAATGAAAAGAAATTTTAATTAATAAAGACTTTATTAATCAAGGGAAAATAGGTTGAAAAACTTATTTCTTTTCAATATGACTGAAGTTTAACTTGTAATTGGTATATAGAGACAAACAATACAAATATGATACCATTGTCTTTCCATGGACAGTAGTATAGGTTTTATAAAATCTGAAATAAGACTTTCTTTAAAGCACTCGAGATTAGAAGTCCTATTTTAGTTATGTCTAGTTATTTATTTAGTTCATGTTCGACACTCAACTATTGTTATAAAGTTACTTTATATACCCACAGGATTAACATCGAGATTCGGGTAACTTTATATCGGATTAGTAATAATAGCCTGGATTAGTGATAATCCCTCAATAGTATTCATCACTATTCAATGTCTGATATAGGACTCGACGTTTTAAAGATTCAAAAGTATACAAGTCACGTCAGTTAGATATATATTTGACACTTTCCTTGCTAATACATAGATTGTTCCATACGGATCACTTTCACTTGTAAAACCACTAATGACCAGTCTGGAGTTATTATCTTCATTTATTTATTTAAGAGACAAAAAGACCCAGATTTTGTCCTTTTACAACACATACACACAGACACCCAAAAATCAAATATGCCATAATCAAGGCTTTTCGAAGTCTTTCAAAATCTGCGAAAAAAATTTCTTATCCAGCAACAACCCATTGCAACATTAAATTTTGACATAGCTGTCCTTCTCTATAATTCCAATACGCCAACAGTTTATCTATAAAATACACTATATAACAGTTCCATACAACCATATAATAGTTCGTAAACTTTGTATGAAAGTAACATCAGAACAATACAAACATTGTAATTGTCAAAGTACAAACCAGTCTAATTTAAATGCGATCAACCGTTTTTTTAAATGAGCTTTCATTTATAGACACTTGTTTGGGCGCAAACGAACGTTCGTCAAATTAACCTTTTGATCTAACCTGGTAAACACCGCCTCACAAAATGCCAGTGCTTGAGAGGGTGAGAATTTCGTTGGTTAATGAGACGCTATCGTGTTAGGTTGTTTTGACGAACGTTCAAGAGGGCTGTCGTTAGACCCTATTTTTATACGCCCACGTGAAATGTGGGGCGTATATTGCCGTCACCCGTGTCCGTCCATCGGTCCGCCCGTCCACAATTGCTTGTTAACACTCTACACGTCACAATTCTTTAAGGATTTTGACGAAACATGCTGAAATTGTTTATTATCACCCAAGGATGAACCCTATTGAAAATCAATAAAATCGAAAAATATTTATTATGAATTATTGCCTTTGTTCTTTAAAACGCGTTCGATTTTTAGCTCGTTAACATTCTACAAGTCACAATTCCTTACGGATTTTGACGAAACTTGCTGAAATTGTTTATTATCACCCAAGGATGAATCCTATTGAAAATCAATAAAATCGAAAAATATTTAATATGAATTATTGCCCTTGTTCTTTAAAACGCGTTCGATTTTTAGCTCGTTAACACTCTACAAGTCACAATTCTTTACTGATTTTGACAAAACTTGCTGAAATTGTTTATTATCACCCAAGGATGAACCCTATAGAAAATCAATGTAAACACTCTAGAAGGCCCAATTCTTGACAGATTTTGATGAAACTTGGTAATATTATTCGGTATCGCCCCAAAAAGTTCAAAAGTATGTCTGAAGGTTGAATGTTTCATACTGGTAATTGTTACTGTACTGCCAAATATTTTTATTTAAAATTAAAGCTGCCAGTGGGCGTATATTACCTTGCCTGGCAAGCTATCTTAAGTGGTTATATTAAAAATCAAAGCTAATAAATAAAAGTACAAACATGGTAACTGTTAACAGTAAAGTATAAACATGGTAACAGTAAAGTATTAACATGGTAGCTGTTAACAGTAAAGTAACAAGATCGTAGCTGTTAACGGTAAAGTATTAACATGGTAGCTTTTAACAGTAAAGTACAAACATGGTAACTGTTATCAATAAAGTAACAATATGGTAACTGTTAACAATAAAGTACAAACATGGTAACTGTTATCAATAGAATAACAACATGGTAACTGTTAACAATAAAGTACAAACATGGTAACTGTTAACAGTAAAAGTGTTTCGCTGTTACGGCTTGGACATTTTGTCATATTGTCTAAACGTCAAATAAATAATAAAAGTGTTATTTTCATCTGTGTTATAATCATTAATTAAGTCTAGAAGATATTAAAATTGATGTACATGACGTCCCTTTGTAAATAGTATGTTGTAATTTACAGTTAGATTTCAATTTATAATGTCTAAATTTGTATATCTCAACAGGTGTTGTTGCAAAATTATTAATAGAACCTCAATTTAATGCTTTCGTGGTAACTTTTAAAATCAAACTTCGTCATACAATTAATAACCTAATTTTCAACCTACAGCCGCACTGCATGAGGTTCAATTAGCTAAGTTATAATGTCAAAAAAATAAGACACAAAGAACTTGATCAAGCGCAGTCTTTCTGTTTGCTATTGCTAGGTTCTCACTATCACGATCCGCCTTACGATTGAAATCGTGGTCTTAATAGTGGCGGTGTCTTGAGGTCAGTCAAAATCCAAGAAACAGCACGGCCGTGATCTGTCGATTTCTAGTCGTAGCTCAAATCGTGATCACCCATGAATCATGTCCAGAAAGCTCACTTGTAATTGGCGAACGCATAGATTCGTCTGTGATCGTATCTGAACGAAATATCAGATCGTAACACCTCAAATTTACAAATCGTGAACAGATTTCATACGATAGCAACAAATCGTGTCAAAACGTATGAGTAACTTTAAGGATTTAAGAGAATTTCCACGAAGAACTACCAATTGTCGATCATGGCGTTTGAAAGGCATCGCACAAGAGTGGGAACCAACCATAGAAACTAATGATGGTAAATAGTGTCGGAATTCGACGTTGAGGTTATCTTAGTGGTAGGTTCAGATGAACTGGGTGCAATTTTACGATCTCTTTGTCGTACAAATGAGAAATATTTTCGACTCATAGCTTTGATTTCTTCTCGAAATCGTGCCGATTTCTTTAAATGTACAACGAAGTTCGTCATTAGACTTAAAATTACAAAATACACTACTAACATTTTGATGTAAAGACCTGGATTCGGGATTAATATATTGGTTATTAAAATGTAGAGTCCAAAAAGAACCCACATGATTGTCGAAACATTAAAAATCAACATCATAAAGTTTGTACGATTCACCTGACTTCCATGCTGGTTTGGTGTAATTCGTTTATGAACCAATCTTATTTTCTGAAACAGTGTCATTGATATCACTCCCGCAATAAAAATGGTAATAGCTCCAAAATATTTCGGCATATCGTTGAATACGCAATTGCTGGAGCGGTTACAATGTGTATTATTGTTTAAGTATAGTGTGTTGTTGATGGTATGTCCTGTGTTAGACTGTTCTTCCGCACAGCTATTGTTACGCTGCGATGTTTTTTTATTCGATGTAAATTCAGATTCATTTTGTGTAACAGTTTCTGAAATTGACATCACGACCGCCATGAAACCAAATCCTACGAACCAAGTGGCAATACATGAATATAACATGGTTCTTTTATTCAATCTGATTCGATGTAAGACGGGAAATACTACCGCTATGAATCTTTCAATGGATATTAAAAGATGTCCAAACATGAGATCAATAGAACTTGATATAATAATGTAAAGAATTATGCTGCAACGGGCTGGCGATTTAAAATCAAAGTAACCTTCTATCAAACCAAAAACCATGGTTGGTGGAACAACGGTGGTATAATAAATGGTAACAATACACAAATTATATACTGGCATATCCACAACATGTATCTGTTTGCTAATTCTAAGCATGACAAATACTTGCAGAATGTTGAGAAATAAGCTAACAAAAATCAGTATTATAACTAAAGCAATAATTAGATAAATGTATTGTTCTTCCAAATCATTTTGATTATCCATAATAGAAGACATTCAATTCACTTTGCACAGAAATACTATTGTGATGAGAAGGTCAATCAACTTGCAACTTTTAAGGAAAGTTTTAAAGTTGATAAACTGTTGTTTTATTCTAGTTTTGTTGCTGTCCGATTCCTCTCTCTGTCTAAGTATTATTGTGTTCTGGAAGTCATGATTGACCAAGATTAATGGATTGGTACAGATTCCGACAATAAGCGGACCACCGAAAGAATATAAAAGCAGTAAAAATACACTTCAATATAAATTTCGCGGCAGATTGTCTCTAACAGTAAAAAGTCAGAACATAGTTATAGTTATTCTTAGGAGTTCCTTACATATACACGAGCTACGAGTTTGACCATATGGACACGATTCTTCCTGAAATTTATACTATATCGATAATCTCGCACCGAACACTGTGCTTCTGCTAATAACTAGAAAGTTTCTAACGCCTCGTCATACTAGAATAGAAATCATCAACTAATTCGACCAATCATGTCTGCAGCTATTCATATTTAAATGCTGACACAAAAGTCGATAAGATTAGAAATTATTGAGAAATATGATATCCAAATAGCCAGTAATTCCGCAAATACAATTTCATATCTGAATGATAATTTAATGCAAATATTAAAGTATAAACAGATAATAATGTTCAACCTAAAACTTCAAGAAATTGGAAGACAATGGTTTTCAACCTGTTTTTGCATCTGAGTTTAAGAAATATGAAGTAGAAAATGCTGCAAATAATTCACTGAGTAGTCACATACAATGTTAGCCGAGGGCGAGGCCGTTTATAGTGTTGTCATATGAGATGTTGTATATATTGGAGTTCGATCATTTTTTCAATAGCCATGGATGCAAACCTACGCTCTAGGAGTATGATATAATAGATAGACTAATAAAATAGACTCGAAAAAGGAGCTAAATCTCTTCAACGATCCTTGCGGCAAATTTCAACTGGTTAACGCTCAATTGTTTTGGTGTCCAGATTGGAGTGGAGTTCTGGCAGTTGGGTCAAAGTATGAAAAGTAACCATTTAAAAATTATGTTGATTGCACAATTAATTTTATGTCACTTTGATTCCCTGTTGCCCAAGGCCTTTCTCTGTGGAGAGTGAAAATTGTTATTTCACTAGGTCACAATAAATTAAGATAATGGTACAAACAAAAGAGGCAGTCGAGCATTTAACAGTTAAATTGCAACAATAATTACAACACAAAATAGTGTGAAACGCACAAAACGTGTCAACATTGAAATACAAAAATTATTAAATTTAACTAACTAAGTTAATTTCTAACTATGGACATTAGTTGAAATGATTACTATTCCTTTAGTATAGCATTTTATAATTTGAACATAGTTCTAATTATCTACTCATTAATTTCATCCATCAAGGACCAAGGATGTCTATTTCTGTCTTTTGGTGATTCTACGGAACTAACAAAAACAACAATTCTTGTCAAAATTCATATTTTTGGGTATAATACCACAATTCGGGATAATTATGTTGGTCTTTGATAAAAAGAATTACCATGGGTATCTTATCAATTTATTTATATAGTTTAAGTCTAGTTAAATTAAATAAGAGCTATTGATTTCTGCAAATCCTTCAACAAAAATATAGCATTGGCTTAAATAAATTATACTTGTACGGTTAAAATGAAGTCCAGATGAACCTAACATGTCGAGAGTTTATAGCGTGTTATCTACAGTGACACAAGAACAATATATGTCAAACTTACTAGGATTATTGATTTTCTTCAAATATTCAACTGTCATTTCCAGTATATCGGCTTTCTCTAATTTACCAGTTCTCGCCATCTGAAACAATCAATTGAGACAATGAAATATCAAGCACTTCACTTATCTGGTAATACAAAACTGGGATTACGAATGCTAAACGCCGGTAAAAGCAATGTAGACCATCCATCCATCCCTTTGGCCACGAGTCCAGACAATGGGTCATTTTACAAACACGATCTTCATCTCTTTCAAAATAAAAACTATATTATCTCTCTGTGATATTTTCTGTATGGGATCTGTTGGTGCCAATGTGTTTTCCAATAAGAATGTGTATATGCGTCTATATATCTCTTTATTGCATGTTGTTGGATTTTGATTTTGTATTTTGATTCTGTGATATATTAGTTCAGCATTTGGTTAAGGGATTATAGGCCAACAAATAAACAGAAGTGGATTTTCCGAAAGGGATGCCGTGCTGCGTAACCTCATCGTAAAGTGGCATCAATACAAGTGGTGAACTTTTTTTTAATAATGAAAATATTTTGTTATTGTTTGAAAGAAAGAATATATTTATATTAAAATGAGGTGATATATATTTATTAACGTGATCCCAGTTTCAAATGTGTTTCAAAGTAATTACACATTTTTCAAAGAAGACTGATATTAGAATTCTAAATCACTTCTATTTTCTATTTTATAAATCTTTATATCTGATCTTGTTATAATCCCGTACAAATCCCGCTCCCCAGAATTGACTATTAACCTCTTGATATATTCCTTATATCAAAGCAAACTTCAACTCACAACGCTGATAACGTCAAATGTCTTCAAGATAGTAAATAACATTTATAAGACTAGAGCATATTTACTCGGGGATTAGTTGTCGTGGTATGCACACCTGGAAACGTCGTGGTCGACGTGCGGAATGTTCAAACCGCCATTTCTCTTTACAAACTCATTTCTAGCGAATTAACTTCAGAATTTACACGTGTCAATTTGTAGTATGTCACGCGCAGAACGTCTAGAATCGTCATACGTGAGCGTCTATTAAAGTTCAAAGTTTATAATGAAATAAACAGTAATTGTGATTACAGAAGAGACATGGCATTTACAGAACTTGTATTATTTAGTAGAACATTAGTTTAAATCATTTACAGAACTTGTCAGTATATAGCAGGACATTAGTTCAAATCATTTACAGAACTTGTCAGTATTTAGTAGAACATTAGTTCAAATCATTTACAGAACTTGTCAGTATATAGCAGGACATTAGTTCAAATCATTTACAGAACTTGTAATTATTTAGTAGAACATTAGTTCAAATCATTTACAGAACTTGTAATTATTTAGTAGAACATTAGTTCAAATCATTTACAGAACTTGTCAGTATATAGCAGGACATTAGTTCAAATCATTTACAGAACTTGTAATTATTTAGTAGAACAGTTCAAATCATTTACAGAACTTGTCAGTATTTAGTAGAATATTAGTTCAAATCATTTACAGAACTTGTAATTATTTAGTAGAACATTAGTTCAAATCATTTACAGAACTTGTAATTATTTAGTAGAACATTAGTTCAAATCATTTACAGAACTTTTCAGCATTTAGTAGAAGATTAGTTCAAATCATTTACAGAACTTGTCTGCATTTAGTAGAACATTAGTTCAAATGATTTACAGAACTTGTCAGTATTTAGAAGGACATTAGTTCAAATCATTTACAGAACTTGTCTGCATTTAGCAGGACATTAGTTCAAATCATTTACTGAACTTGTCAGTATATAGAAGGACATTAGTTCAAATCATTTACAGAACTTGTCAGTATATAGCAGGACATTAGTTCAAATCATTTACTGAACTTATCAGTATATAGAAGGAGATTAGTTCAAATCATTTATAGAACTTATCAGTATATAGCAGGACATTAGTTCAAATCATTTACTGAACTTATCAGTATATAGCAGGACATTAGTTCAAATCATTTACTGAACTTATCAGTATATAGCAGGAGATTAGTTCAAATCATTTATAGAACTTATCAGTATATAATAGGGCATTAGTTCAAATCATTTACTGAACTTATCAGTATATAGCAGGAGATTAGTTCAAATCATTTACAGAACTTGTAATTATTTAGTAGAACAGTTCAAATCATTTATAGAACTTATCAGCATTTAGTAGAAAATTAGTTCAAATCATTAACAGAACTTGTCTGCATTTAGTAAAACATTAGTTCAAATCATTTACAGAACTTGTCTGCATTTAGTAGAACATTAGTTCAAATCATTTACAGAACTTGTCTGCATTTAGTAAAACATTAGTTCAAATCATTTACAGAACTTGTCTGCATTTAGTAAAACATTAATTCAAATCATTTACAGAACGTGTCTGCATTTGGTAGAACATTAGTTCAAATCATTTACAGAACTTGTCTGCATTTAGTAAAACATTAATTCAAATCATTTACAGAACGTGTCTGCATTTAGTAGAGCATTAGTTCAAATCATTTACAGAACTTGTCTGCATTTAGTAGAGCATTAGTTCAAATCATTTACAGAACTTGTCAGTATTTAGTAGAAGATTAGTTCAAATCATTTACAGAACTTGTAATTATTTAGTAGAACATTAGTTCAAATCATTTACTGAACCTATCTTCATTTAAATGATTACATTTCTTCTCGTATTGCATTTTGCAGAACCTCGACTAGGTAAAAGCTATCTTTAATTCCATAACTATTCCCTTCCCGAGACGTTTTTTGTTGAAAATTTAAAATAAAACAATATACTGTTTTATTGATTCAGGACATTGAGTTTAAATCGAGTTTCTGTTCTACAACTAAAAACATCCTAAGATTACAAACTGCTTATGATTGCAGACAGTTCTTTTTTTAATAATTGTTCTTTCTTCATCAAGATGATAAGCTGCAGAACGTGCATTATCATAGCCGTAGGGTTATATAATAATTACTATATATATAATATAGAGCCAGTAAAGGTTATTTCTGTCTTATTATTTTCAAAAATAATACACATTATCTGTTAACAAAAGATTTCCCTTGAAAATATTGAATACAGTACACATTTTCTCGATAGAAAATCTAACAGACATCAATTAGTATTGTTCAAAACAGTTTTTCTATCATTCTATTGTTATTTTGTGCAATTTAAATGAATCTACCGTATTCAGACAGAACTGTAAAGATGAATGATACATTTCCTTAAAACTTTACGTCTTACGCCAATTCCCTCACATAAAATTTCAACGAAAATGTCCCAAATTTTGTATGAAGTATGCCCTCTGTATTTCCAAGTGATAATTTCTGAGAATAACAGTAGTACTTTTAAGCTGATATAGCAATTCTCATAAAAATAATAGGCAAATCAATTTATTGAGGAATGATCGAAGACAGTAGAAGCATGCCAAGAACTAACTACGTCTCTGCTACCCCCTGAGCAAAAACTATCCATCTGAAGAGATCTGTTTAAAATGAAAACTAATAAACGTGATGGTGTTAATACCAGCTCATTGTGAACAAATATATCACTATTAGTATGTATTTACTATAAATTAGGACCATTGTTTAAAAATTAACGGATCGATTGCTCTTAATAACAAGAACGGTTGACATGTCGTACATCGAAAATCTCTCGAAAATGGACAAAATTACTTACATTGAATCTATAGGTCTCTCACGTCTACCACATTTCAATAGAATTAAATTATATCAGTGGAAATTGACATCTCTGTTTCTTTTCATTTAGATAATTTAACCTACTTGGATGATGTGTCATTTTTAACGAGATATTTTCCTAAAAGTAAGATATCGATTATATTCTTCGTCATATTTCTGAATAGATTTCTGCTCTATGAGATCAGCATCGTTCACAAACCTATTAGCCAACCAAGTCCATGTCCATTCTACAAAAGGTTAAAACTTTATTGAAGCGCTTGGTCAAGAAAATTGGATGATTAGATTCCAGGGGAGCTATGCTATAGCCGTTAATTTAACAACAACCTGAGTAGAGATTTAAATGATGGTTAAACCTCACACTGTGATTTAAAAACTCAAACGATAACCGTTAGGGCTGTTATAATAATTTAAGTTGATACTGTTTAACACAACCGATAAAACTTTGACAACATTCTTCTTATTAAAGATGGGAGGACAGCTTCTCTCCACAGGTGTGATTCAAATAGTGTCGCCCCTTTTATCTCTAAGCATATCAATTTATATTACATATACCTAGGTACCCTTTTAGTTACCCTTTTAAAGAGGGTACATAAAGTTATGTCATAGTTTTTTTGTTCTTCGTGGAGGAGTGTGAGTTAAATAAATTTGCGTTACGTCTTGATGCGGCGACCTACTGAGACTGTTACAGATCCTTACGACATTTACTATACGTATATACTACAACCCCTTCGTAATGTCAGTCCTACCCCTCTATTTATAATAGGTTTCTTTTTTGATATCTTACAAGAACAATGATGTAAGAAATAATTGAGGTTTTTATTTGGTTGGTCAAAACTTAAATTGGTTATCACTCTTCACACGTGTTCTAATTCTATGTAATTTACCATTATTTTATTCATTTTGCCAAGATAAGATGTGTCTTTAAAAGTAATTTTGAATATATGTTTTCTATTGCCCGGGTTATTACTGATAACGTCACCTTTCAAATAATAACTGCTTTTCATAATAAAAATTCTTTGATTTTACCTTACATATGTAAAATAAACCACACAGGGTAATCTTAAATCATAAGCCTTGATTAGGGATTAGCCAGTAATCAATATTCAAACATACAAAAAAATTATACCATAGTCCGTATGCGAAATGGTCTTTTCATGATATTTGTTAATATTTATCAAATACAATATTTCCAGTTTGCAAATTTGTTGTACTCAAATTATCTGGTCGACATATGGCCAAGTCTTTTATAATAATATGCAATGGAAAATTGCTACCACCTTTAATTGTTATGAGTTTTCAGACACGAAAAACGCCCTAAATTATACAAAGGAAATGTTGTTCATTTTTTCTGATTTATCTTATTGTCAACGGTTTGTCATATAAACTTCACAAAACTATTTATTTCAGCTAGAAAATGAGAGTATATAGTCATTATTATTATCAGTAATTCATTTCGTAAGTTAGATAAATTAAAACTTAGAATTGAAATAAGATTCATTATTTTTTTTATATATTTCAGATATTATTATTTCTTGTTAGCGAAATTTACTACGACAGAAAGAGGAATTGAATATTTCCGTCGGAGAAAGTCCGGTAATGAGCAAAATTGCGTAGTTTGTTTATACTTAAGGCCTCACAACAAAATTAATTGAAAGTCCCCTTTTGACATCTAAGCTGACAGACCTCATCAGCATTTCCATAAAGATTTATTTAATTTATGAAATCGCTCGGTTCATCCTTTTATGCTTTGATCATAATCATTTAATAACAAAAGCTATTGGATGAAGCAAACAAAGTGAAATATAAATAGTGCATTTGACGAATGGAAAATGTAGTGTAATTAAATCTATTATACATGCTATTGTGTTTAAACACATTTAAATCTCGAACTCTGAAAGCAAGACACTAATTCTTTAAAGGAATATGTCAGGAATCAGCCCGTATGAAGATTTGAATAAATTTGAGCTTTCAGCAAGAGAAAACCGTAAAATAAATGAGGAGCGCAATTTTTCTGTTTCAGAATCACAGGTGTTCGAATTTGGAAAGCCGAAAAAAATCCTCTTAAGAAAAGAAGTACTTCAAGGTATACTTTTCAGAGTAAACATTCGTTGAATTGGGCAGTTTTTCTCATCATAGGCCCCAAAAAAGACAAAATAAAACGAGTTATCCTTGAATATATTATACTGTAGAAAAGAATACCACATTGTCCATTTGAGAGTTTGTATACCGTTAAGATTTCCGCTGCAAAGTAGTTGCACTTTTTTCAAAAATAAATAGTTTTTATGAATGAAACATTTCATCTGTTCACATGAAAGACTAATTTAAGTACACATTAAGATACTAGGCATCGAGACATGTACTTGCGTCTCATTGCTGAGACCAATTGCAACTAAACGTGCAATTACATGTATGTATTACAAACTTAACTTCTAACTCAATAAAATACGGACAACAGGAAAAAATCCTACCCATGTTATTAGCAAATCTAATTTTCTGCTAACATGTAAGCGCAACGGGTGGTGAGTGAACGATTTTTAGCGTTTGTGGATAGCTATGGACAACTGACTAAAATAGGGGCATCCTCTTTATGCCAACATTCCTGTGGGAGAATTCAGCCCCCTCCTATGTTTCTTGAGTACGAATTTGAGTACTCTTACGTTCATATGTAATTTCATATATTATGTCATTATAAATTAGGTTTTGTCAGACATATGTGTTAAAGAGAACTTACCTCACTACTTGTGGCTTTCAGAACCAAATTCTTCAACTGCATCAAACATTCATTAATCCGTGCACGACGTCGTTTTTCTATCAAAGGCTTGTTGCCCTGTAAAAATAACCATTTCGGTTAAATTGATATATCAGTGAAAGGCCAAAATTTTGAAGTTTTCATGAACGTTTTAGACATAGCTACCAATTTGTGCCAAACCCGATATTTTTTTTAATAACCCTTGGATTTCTGTAGTCCGTAATGGTCGTGATTTTGAATCTCAGTTGGTCATTTCCACTTATATTTATCATCCAAGATCAACATTGTACCATCTTGTCATGTCTGATGCACGAGACTGACGTTTACACATATGAAATGAATTTGATATAATCTGGAAATCGGATGAATGATTGCCTGTTAAACCTTTTCAAGCATAGTCACAAATCTTGAAATATGAAGATGCCCGAAGTTGATAAATAAGGTTCATGAATAAATAATATCTACTGTGAATGGATTATCTTTAAAGTAGAAACTCTCATTTTTGATTTATCGAGATAACTCCTTACAAAATTAATGACACATCTAATTCTGTTAAATTCCCTTTCCTATTGTGAATTACATATAAATTCTGTCAGTTGACAATGTAATATTTATTATATAAGGGACTATGATGTTATCAGTCATGACACTACATGAGTTTCATAATTCTCACTATTGTATCAAGCGCCATAACACTACACCGTATTGAAATGACAGATTCTATCTGAATAATCTTCTAAGTTTATTACTTTATTATTTTACTGAAGAAGGAAATCCAAAGTTATAATGTTATTTTTCTACTTTTAAACTATGTTGTATTGAATTATCTCATTAGAATCATAATTATTCATAATAAATTTGAATTTCCCAAATGAATAAATATAAAATTTGACGATATTGTCCCCAAGAAATAATTATTGGTATGATATCCTTCTTGAAAATCAATGATAATATAAGAATAAAATTGATTCAGCAAGGTTACCCACTTTAGCATTAACCTTTTCTTTATAGAGTAAATCAAGTTGTGATTTAACATTGTGACTTCCTTAATTTCCCTTTTTTTCTTCTAAAATATTACACTTTAAAAATCAACATACCCTTTTGGTTCCATTTGGCGATTGTTTCTTCATATTGTTCACGGTGTCACTATTAGTAGACATTTTTTGACGTTTGACACGAGCGCAGATGAAGTCTTTCTCCAATTATTCACGAACGTATAGTGTTGAGCCGTGTCGGGGCACGCGAATCAACCGTTCACCTATTTACCTTTCCATTGGGATCGGTCGGCCACGAGCTCACGTCACATACCTTTACAATACACCAATTAAATGTCCAACAGGAAGATCACGTGATTTGTACTGGACGTGTGGGTCTTATAAGACGTTACCGTTATTTTAAGACACGCGAGCTAATGGCTTTTGCAAATTGAAAAGCCATAATAAAATAGCCATCAGACATTGGTCGTGTATCCATAATGTGAAAGGATTAACAGATTTTAGTTAGATTAAATATTAAGAAGCGTAATATTAAACAACTTTCACTGAAACGTTGGAGAGCATTGACCTCTTCCCTAATATCATTAACAAATACTGTGGAACGTACGGGCATTCACCTGTACATATTTTGTCATAATACTGTTCACTCTCACTAAAAATGTCAACAATTTACACACAAAAAATTGAATTGTAAAAATCAATGATCCTCGAATGACCTCTTTTGTTTTCTTGCTTGATTATATTTCCCATTTTTGTGTGCATATTTAATTGAAAAATCCACAAAATAAATGAAATGGAACCATAAGCATTATACACGAATCAAAAATCATAATTATTTCACATGAATTGTTCTGATCATGCAAAAAGAAAAGAAAAGGGCATCTGAGAGGCGTATTTATGTATCTGTTTGAAAGACTTGTCATTGGTATGATCAAAAGGTTGCGGATTTGTTCAAAATGTTAGTCTAGTAATTGGAAGATGTTGTTTTGTGTAAAAATACTTGACTCAGTACTATTTGATACGTGGTCGTTCAATACCAACATTGTGACTATACGACAACCAATTAATATATGAAAGGAGACGCTTTAATCCAGACAGTATTTATCTACCCAATCTCATTTAATTTCAGTCCGACGACTTGGGGTTTTGGCAAGACACTCAGGGACGTCTTATGTTCAAATTTCGGTATAAACATTTTAAGCCTCTTGAAAAAACTAACACAACTCAAGCTGATAGATATTTCAACTTTCTTGGTCCATTTTTTTAGAGTAAAAGGTAAATTGTTTAAAATCGAACCTGTAACCAACTTTGATCAACTTGAATGTACCATGCACTTTAAGAGGGACCTTTTTCTGCATGACAAGAGGTCAAGAGCATTATTTTCAAACGCTTGTGCAAGCTTAAGATCATTAATTTTTCAGAACAAAAATGTGTTGACAAGGCTTAAACTAACTTGCAATGTGTTGTTTTTGACTGGAAGTACATTATGTCTTTTAATATAACACGAAGTAGTCAAAGGACACATGTCTCAGTTTCTGCCCAACATGCTGACCATCAGAAGAATGTCCCTAAGACTAATGATATATAAAGAATGTCGGACAGACGGGTTGTCACATGTTTGTCCATATCATTGTGGCATCTCCAATCCTTTTGTTCCTAGTGAAATGTTAACCCTTTCACTCCGAGGGCAAGTATGTAATATAAATATCTATGTTTTGGACAGATGCCAATAGACAAATAAAACTGGCACGTGTGTTAAGATTGATTAATCTCTTAAGAATGTAAATCCTTTTAATATTTTCTTCCTTTTCACCTGTTTTGATTTATGTGAAAAACTTAATTAAATTTAGTCAATGTTTAATTAATTTCCCCGTTAGGTGTCACCCTATCATAAGAAGAACGTTTTAAGTCACCACGGAGATGCTGCAAAAACTTCGTTTGGCTAGCTTTTCAAGTAATGTAATTCATTTTTCAAAGCTTTCTGTCATATCCCATATATCCAAATTTTCAATTACATACCATTTTGTTAGGATCTATTGAAAGTCCGGGTACATTCGGTATTTCGATATTTCAATTCATACAAAAATGATTGTGGTCAGACAGTAAACAGTCGTGTTCATTTCGATTTATTTTAAATATTTGTATATCAAAAGAGCCCAGTTATTATACTTGTCAAGCATCGTCTTTACATTGCATGTATGTATAAATCTCTGGTCTAGGTGCTAATTCTTTACCACTATATGCATATACAATTATATAGCTTATCACGCTCATCAACGTTCCCCTTTAAATCCTTTATCAGCTTTCTCGTGTATGGATTATAATTGTAAAGGATGCTACACTTTAATCTTAAATACAAACCATAGGTCGCGACATAAACGTCTTCAATTGAGCCTTAGATGTAAATTCGCGTATAATTTGCATATTTTGATTGTTGTTTTTCGGCTTATCTGATAAAGAATGTAGTTAATATGTATGAAACCGTTAGTTATATCGAAGGATAGAAACATGGGGTATCTTCATTTTATATGAGTTAATGCATAGACGATACAGGGATCAAAGAGTTGACCAACAATGGTGTATTGTTTATATGAACTCGAAAACAGTGTTCTGCTTCACTTGTCTGAATATTGCAATTATTATTAAACACATGCTTCGTTGATCGCATCGGTCATCTATGTAGATAAACCATAATTTTATTGTTTCACGTGTTTATATCTCCCAGCTTTGAGACCCGACACCAATAAGCAACATGCCTACTTAAATGAGTTTTTCTCCAACTTGGACTGAAAGGTAATTATAGACATATATATGCACAGCTTTATGGAACAACAATCACTGGTTAA